CCCCCCACTAAATGCTATCTATCTAAACTGTTGCACACATTAGTAGTCTATTATCATCATCATCATCACCATCACCATCATCATCACCATCATCACCATCATCATCATCATCATCATCATCATCTACCGCTTAGCAAGTATCTAATTACATAAATGTATCAGACTTTAATCTTTTATCCACTGAAGGACAATTCAGGATTTTTTCCCTCTAACTGAGGGATATTTAGAATACAAATGCAAATACAAATGAACATTCATTTTTAGACTTTCTGTGAATACAAGTTTTCATTCATCTACAATAAATACCTAAAAGTACATTTCCTGAGTACTTTTATAACTGTACATTTAGTTCTGTAAGAAACTGTCAAACTACTTCCAATAGTTGCTATGCAATTTTACATCCCTTCCTTCAATGTATTAATATTTTGTCATTGAGTCAAAAGAGTACTACTAGACAAATAGAAAAATTGTTCATTGCAATATATCTTAAACCATTAAACTCTGTCCATGCTTACATATACTATCTTTTAAAAGTATTTAACATAGGACTATAAAACATTGCAAATAAATACTTTAAATAATATCCTGGCAAAACACCTGGCAAAGAGAAAATAAATTTGTAGAGTTATTCAATATAAACAAAAAATGTTGGGGAGAATATATTTTTATGTTGTTTCACTGAAGGATTTTTTTCAATTTTAGAAAATATTTATGCTAATTTTGAGCCTTATTTACTCTAAAGTAAAAAAAATAAATCTATTATTTCAGAAAAATATTTTCTTTAAAGAAGCAATTGTGTTTATTAGAATATTTCTACTTCCATTTGCATTTGCTACTCTAACTGGCCTACAGTAAAAATTATCATTGTAAAATAATGGCTCAGAGAGGTGGGTGCTAATAGCTCACACCTATAATCCTAGATACTCAGGAGGCTGAGATCTGAAGACTATGGTTCAAAGCCAGCCCAAAGAGGGAAGTCTGTGAGACCCTTATCCTCCAATTAACCACCTAAAAACCAGAAGTGGAGCTGTGGCTCAAATTGGGAGAGCACTAGCCTTGAGCAAAAAAGCTATGCACAGGCCCTGACTTAGCCAGGCAAAGATGGGTCATGCTTGTAATCCTAGTTACTTATGTTGTCCAGGACAAAAACTAAAAGCAGCCTTGCACTGGACCAGTTTCCTAAGATGACTCTTCCTATAGTATGGTCTCTCCCCAAACAGTGGCAGTAGCAACACCTAGATGCGTCTTAGAAATCCACTGCTAAAACCGGTTGCTGGTGGCTAATGCCTGTAATACTAGCTACTCAACAGGCTGAGATCTGAGGATCACGGTTCAAAGCCAGCCCAGGCAAGGAAAGGCCATGAGATTCTTATCTCCAATTAACCACCAAAAAACCAGAAGTGGTGCTGTGGCTCAAGTGGTACAGTGCTAGTCTTGAGCTGAAAAGCCAAGGGACAGTGCCCAGGCCCAGAGTTCATGCCCCATGCCCAACAAAAAAATAAATAAATAAAAAAGAGATCCACTGCTAGTACTCCATCCCAGGAACTCTATGGAGGATCTAGCAATATGTTTTAACAAGCCTTCCAAGTAATTCAGATGGATGCTCTAATTTGAAAAAGCAGTAGTTTCAGGCCACTCTAATTTGAAAAAGCAGTAGTTTCAGGCCAAGACACACCAGAAAGCTCCATCTAAAAGCCTTACTACAAGCTTTTATGTTTTGGATTCTCCAAGGAATGGTACTATTGAATGTGGGTAAGACAACATTTTTGCTATGATTAACTTTTAGCACTTCTGATGACAACAGCAAAAGCAATTTACCATATGCATTTACCATTTCCCTGAGGGTTGGTTAAGAGTGCTCCTGAGAATCACTGATAAAATGAAGGCTCCCTTTAGTCCTTTTCCTCTCCAAAGATCCTGACCACACTCAGTCTTGATTAACCACATCCCTTGTACTACATGTAAAAGGAGGGATTGTCCTGTTGGTCTATGAAAGCATGCAACGAAGTAGGGAGGATGGGTTGGGAGACGGAGGCACTTTTTGCATTGACACAATTTTTTACTAGGTCTATCATATGTTGTAATTTTATTTTTTTCTAATGTCAAAAATTAACTTAGTCTTTTTAACCTCAAAGACTTTACAGAAACTAAGTGGGGAAAAAACTGAGTATTTACATAAGTGATCTTCATTAGGGTCAAATTTAAAATTTAAAATCATTTATAATTACTATCTATAAAAGGTAAAAAGAAATATTTTGCTACTAAAAGGAAATATTCAACAAGGAAGGTCCAGAGATGTGACTCAGTTATAGGGCACTTGTCTGTCATGCACAGTGTGGAGTTCAGCATTTGAACTGATCCTTAAAAGATGAATATAGTTTCAACAGACCAGGGGTACGTAAAGGACAATATTCAAATCTACTAAAGAATAAAAGTGAAGATATAACCAGGCACCAGTGACTCTCACCTTTAATCCTAATTATTCAAGAAACTGAGATCTGAGTATCATAGTTCAAAGCTAGCCCTGGAAGAAAAGTCCATGAGATTCTCATCTCCAATTAACCAGCAAAAGGCTAGAAGTAGAAATGTGGCTCAAGTGGCAAAGTTCCAGCCTTGAGTGAAAAAGCTAAGTGAGACTGAGGTCTTGAGTTCAAGGCCCAATACTGGCACACATATACATCAAAAAGCGAAAACATACAGAATATTTTGTTGCTGTTGTTGGTTTTGGGGCTTGAATTCTGGGCCAGGGCACTATCCCTCAGGTCTTTAGCTCAAGGAGAAAGCTCTACCACTTGAGCCACAGCTCCACTTTGGCTTTCTGGTAGTTAATTGGAGATAAGAGTTTCATGGACTTTCCTTGCCCCGGCTTTGAAATGTGATCCTCAGATCTCAGCCTCCTGAGTAGCTAGGATTACAGGTGTGAGCCACCAGTGCCTGGCCTATACAGAAATTTTATATATGTGGTATAAAAGAAACTGAAAAGTTCAGGGGCAGAACATAGAGAGAAAAATGGATCCAAGAAGACTTCAAACTTAGATTTCATTCATCCTGAGGATTAACACTGCCTTTACTAGTAAATATTTTTATAATATATGCACCAAAATTTTGATGAGGTTCCATGGTTTTAGTAGAAGTCAGTCTTTCAGAGAGCCAAATGAATCAAGTATCAATATAATCTTATTTCAATATAATCTTTCCTAATACACAAGAGCATGCATAATGTATTCTTATGATCTTCATAGGGACCTCCTATACTCCTATATAGTTTAATTTCATTTAAAAAATCCTACTACCGTACAATATTTGAAGTTTCCAGAGTGAAAACAGCTAATCTAACCTGACCACAATTCTATCTTAGTTTGATTGATATTGTAAACCTTTTAGGATAGTCAATGAACTGTTTGTAAACGATGTAGGTGTTGAACTTATAACCACAAAAATGACTAAGCATGAATACTTAATGTTAGATGAATGAATGTTAATGAATACTTAATGTTGAGTCAGCAGCTGATAATAAATAACATAGTTTAGTGGCAAAGCACTGAGTACTCTCTAATACTACCAAAACAAAGAATTATTTTGGCTCCCTAGTAAATTAAATATAAATAAGGTAAAACATGAAGCATTTAAAAAACTGTTTTCTTTTCTAGGTAGTGGTAAATACTAATAAAAGTCTGATTTGGGGGAGGAGGTTCTGGGAATTGAAGCCAGTGTTTCACAAGGTAAGTCATGTTCTCTATTTAGTTACACCTTTAGCCCGAAATCTCATTTTCTATTTAGTAAGCTATAAAAATTTATCTGTTAAAAAATATATTTTAACAACATGCAACCAAAACCAAATTGCAAAAATCATGAAATTATTCAAATTTTTTGAAGTGTCAGAAAATTCAAATAATACCCAATTCATTAGGACTAGTTTTTGCATAAAGTTACTAAAAGATGTAAATTTTATTAAAACACTTTTAAACAAATAATTTAATTATCAACACAAAAAGTTCACCCTTTAAGAGTCCTAAATAATGTCTTTGATTGACAAAGAATGATTGATTCATGAAATAAAGGAAATATTAGGTCGTATAACAGAAGAGAAAATGTGAAAAGGATAGGCAACTATTATTCCAAAGAGAACCTGAAAAATCAAGAACTATTTTCAATAATATACAGCTAAAGAACAAGTAAATAGTAGAAGAAGCTGAGATTTAGGTATACTAAAAAATTCTCTACTAAACACTGATGTTGTTGCATTTCAGATCCAGGTATTCTTTATGTTTTTATCTGTGTTTCTTAGAGAAACGAAAATCCATAAAGTCATTAAAAAAAAAAGTGAAAAGGCCAGGTGACGGTGGCTCATGCCTATAATCCCAGCTACTCAGGAGTCTGAGATCTGAGGATCACGGTTCAAAGCCAGACAGGGCAGTAAAGTGGAAAGTCTGTGAGACTCTTTAATTAACCACCAGAGAAGTAGAAGTGGCACAGTGGCTTAAGTGGTAGAGCCCTCACCTTGAGCTGAAGGGCTCAGGGAGAGTGCCCAGCCCTGAGTTCAAGCCCTAGGTGAAGAATAAAACACAGACACAGACACAGACAGACAGACAAGCAGACACACACACACAGAAAGCAAAATAAATCTAAAAATGCTATTTTTTTCAAAAAATATTTAAACAGCTGGGGGAAGTGGATTGGCCTTTAGATGACTGATAAATTTTTGTTAATTTTCATTTGTGTGACAATGGTATGGTGATTATTTATGTTTTTTCAATCTATGTACTAAAATGTGACATTCTATGTACGACTTATTAAAATATATCAGCAAAGAAAAATATTATAACAAATACAGGAAAATATTAAATGAGTGAGGTATATACATTAAATTTTTCATAATAAAATGAAATAAAAATTCTAATATTAGAGCCAAAGATATAGAGAGTTAAAAATTGCTATGAAGAGAATATTCAGATTATAACTAAAACTAAAAAGAAACTAAAAAGAAAAAAGAAACTTACCTTCCTTTGGGCTCACGGCTGCAGGAAGACCGTTCCAATCAAGGGACCACATAGGGGAAGGGTGAGGAGCAAGCATCACTTCAATGCCATTTTCCTAGAGAAGGAAGTAAGTTTTCAAATTAATAAGTTAACAAATCTTATGCTTTTGGGGGCCAAATTTCTACAGCAAAGAGAAGCATTAATAGTAATAATCAACAGATATTTAATTAATAGTATCTATATTAATAGTATATAGTAATAATCATCAGATATTTCCAAAATGTTTGACTTCTAACATCGTAGTTACTTTCCTTTTTCCCCCTTTTTTTTCTTTATTGAGGAAATAAAAAACATATAGAACCAAAAAGCCATCTAGAAATAGAAATGTATCAGATATAGAGAAAGTCACTTGAGGACAAAACTGTCTTAAAATCAATCCACTTAAGAGATTATATGTCCATCAAGTTCTACCTTTCCATATATGAAAACTGCCCCAAACTTCCAAGATTTATAGTGACAAAAGCTACTACCTTAAATTATACCTCAAATATTACCCCCATCAGTCCTTTATAGTAAGAGAATGCAATATCTCTAGAAAAGCATTTCTCTGGCTTAACCAAATACATATCAAAATTTTAAGAGGATCACTTTTTTATAGGTTCCTTTTTTCCAGGTTCCTTTTATTTCAGAAGCTATGCATTTATTTCATCTACAGATATTAATATGGCATATACATTGATTCAGACACCTTTCCAAATACATTTTGGGTCTACATGCCACAGAATAAATAACCATGGTACAGGTGTGTTTTATCCCTACAGGTAACCTATGCAAAAGAAAAATTGCAGCTGGGGTGGTGGCACACAGCTAACATCCAAACTCTAGGAAAGTCAGAGTATCACTTGAGTCTCAGTTCCAGGACAGCTTGAGACCTCTGTCTCAAAATAAATGAATTGAAAATTGTTGAGACTTCAACATTAACTTTTTGTATCAGCTAATTACTTTCCATAGAAAATGAGCTAAATTTTGTCCTTAAAGGAAAAGATTCTTGTTAGAACTAGAAATAGAGCTGTTAAGCTAGAAGTCTAGAGTATTCATTTGCCTCCAAAAGATGAACACATTTCTCTGACATTATCTTAACCCTCTTCTATCTCTTTTGCCGGAGTTTAGCCATATTGTCCTTGCTATTTCTCATTTCCAAACTTATTCTTACTTTAGGGCCCTTTTAAAAAGTACAAGTACATTAAGATACTACAACATTTACTTCATTCCTTCATTTATTTATTTTGTCTATTCTAGGGCATGTCCAGAATGTGACTCAGGCCTCACTCTCTCATTTATCTTTTTCACTCACAGCTGGAACTCTAACACTCGAGCCACTTTTCCAGTCTAGCTAGCATTTCAATGGTTTACTGAGGATAGAGTCTTGAAGACATTTCTTCCTTGACCTGCAACACACTAAGAAACTCAAGTATCGGCTTCCTGAGTAGCTAAGGATTACATGTTTGCCACTGGTGCATGATCAAAAAATATACTCTTCTAAGGCATACTATTCAATGGATTATCATCACTACTATTTTCAGAACATTTTCATCACCCCAAAAGCACATCTACTGAACTAAACCAAAAATTGTTCAGCTGTGCATCTATTTAATCAAAACATCAAAGTCTGGATAAAACTTCTAAAATCAACTATCTAAATATGTTCATTGTTTCAGCAATAGGTTACAGAGCTTAGTCAAAAAGATGGTAGGTTGGGTGTCACTACTAACATTTTCTTATTCATATCTAAACATAAGCTTCCAGTCACTGGTAGAGTGCAAATACTCCCTACCCCAAATAGAGAAACAAAGTAAATTTTTTTAATGCTTCTCAGGTACATACATTATTTCATGAATTTTCTATACAAATAAATCTTCATTAATCTATTAAAAGCAAAATATTTTTGCAGACTGTTTCATATAAAGGAATATTGTAATGAAAGCCAATTGGTGAACAGTGTACAATCTATTAAAAATAAATTACGAGCCGGGCGCTGGTGGCTCACGCCTGTAATCCTAGCTACTCAGGAGGCTGAGATCTGAGGATCGCGGTTCAAAGCCAGCCCGGGCAGGAAAGACCTTGAGACTCCTATCTCCAATAAACCACCAGAAAACCGGAAGTGGCACTGTAGCTCAAGTGGTAGAGCGCTCGCCTTGAGCTGAAGAGCTGAGGGTCAGCAAGCAGGCCCAGAGTTCAAGCCCCACGACCGACCAAAAAAAAAGAAAGAAAAAAGTAAAAATAAATTATGCTCCAAAGAGAGAAAAACATATATATTATGTGTATTTATATAATTATAATATATATTACATATATAACATAATTATATATTATAATTATTATATACAGCTACATAATAATAAATGTATAAACAAATATGTAATATATAATTATAATATATAATATAGGTAATACACATAATATACATGTATAATATATATACATATATACCTTATTATAATTATATATAATATAGACAATATTACATAATATATATATATAAAATATATTTTTTTTGTTTGTTTTTGTTTTTTCCAGTCTTTTGTAGGGCCTGAACTCTGGGCCTGGCGCTGTCCCTCAGCTCTTCAGCTGAAGGCTAGCACTGTACCACTTGAGCGTCAGCCCCACTTCTGACTTTTTCTGCTTATGTGGTGTTGAGGAATCGAACCTAGGGCCTCATGCATGCAAGGCAAGCACTCTACCACTGAGCCACCTTCCCAGCCCAAAATATATATTCTTATAGTACAACAAATTAAAATCATAAAATTTTTAAAAGGTTTACACAATTTTTAAAATTTAAAAAGGTTTAAACAATACCAAAATCAAAAATTTGAGTAAAAAGTTAGTAAGTAAAGGTATCTTTATAACTTCTTTAATTTCAAACCATCAAGTCATATTTACAGATTGAGTATAAAATAACCTTGTAACAGAAAAGCATCTGCTTAAACAATATACTTGATCGGGTATGACAGGCATGTTCTGAATCTTGAAACCACACACCAAAAAACTAAGTTTCAGAAAAAATAAATTTTCAAAGTACATATTATGATTTACTTTGTTCCAAAGATACACAATATTAAGAATCTAAGAAGTAAATCATACAATGCAAAAGACTAATAGAAATGTTTATTAGTATTAAGTGATATAAAATAAAAAATATGTCAAAAAATAACTACCAAATAGGGCCAAATCTTGGTCAACACTACCATATGTAATTTGTCAAAGAAAAAATTTTTGTTGTTGTTGTTGGTTGTGGGGCCTGAATTCTGGGCCTGGGCACTGTCCCTCAGCTCTTCAGCTCAAGGCTAGAGCTTTACCACTTGAGCCACAGTGCCACTTCCGGCTTTTTCTATGTTATGTGGTGCTGAAGAATCGAACCCAGGGGCTCATGCATGCAAGGCAAGCATTCTACCACTGAGCCACCTTCCCAGCTGCAGAAAATTTTAATAGAACAATATATACCATTAACTTAGTCAGAGTTGGTCTTGGTCCTCCTGTAAATGATGGGTCATTTTGCTCTTCTGAACCTGGGACTTCACTTAAGATCTGAGGCTGCTCATTTGAAGTATTTAACAACTTTGGCAAACACAGAAATTGGATCCCACACATGGAAGCTGCTGGTTTTACTTTTGGCACTTCCTGAATCCTCTGGTACCAAGAAGCTAGCAGTGGAAATTCTATCAGTTTCTCAGAAAATTTCTTGCAGATAATTACCTAGGTAGGAAAAGATAGTACACATATTTATTTTTGATAGCTTATTATAACAGGTACATTGACATAACTTTAGATCACTACATTTATAAATTTTAAAGTAGGACTTAAACAATGAGTTTTAGCAAATTTAAAGGAATATGGAACTATCACCATAGTCCAGTTCTAGAATACTGTATCACCCAAAAAAGGTCCTTTGTGTCTATTTACTGTCAACCTCTGTTCTGCTGTCCCTACTTTGGGGTTTTCTAGAATTTCATATAAACAGAAAAATGACTTCTCACTTAATTTACTGAGGTTTGTCCATTTAAATCATTCTTTCTTTTATTATTAGTTAAGAGTTTTCTAGCAGACATACTGTATTTTGCTTATCTATACAACAGTTGATGGACATTTGTATGTTTCCAGTTTGAGGTTATTTTAGTAACAATGCTATATTTTAACACACCAGTGTTTGTGTACAAATTTATTTTCTTGGGAGTAGATATTTTAGTTGCTAGCTTATATGGAAACTATAAGTTGAACTTCTAGAGAAACAGTTTAATTATTTTTCAGGGTGTTCCCTGCATGTTTTTATTCACACTGGCAAGATTCGAATTTATTCACACTGGAGATTCAAATTTCTCCATATTTTGTCACCATTTGGTATTGTCAGTTTTAAGCATTCTTACTCGTGTAGTATTTCATTGTATAGCATTTTCTTATGAATAGTGATCTTGAGGATCTTTTCATGTTTATTTGCAATTTAGGTAACTTCTTTGGGGGTGTCTTAAAAGTTTTTGTCATTCATCTCAGAATAGAAATTTGGAATAATTCTAATGATGTAACAACTCAATTAAGAAAACAAGGAAAGGATGGAATAGATAATTTACCAAAATAGATATACAGGTGGCTACAAAGAACATAAAAACATGACCATTATATATCACTAGAGAACTGGAAATTAAAGCAAGAAGACATGGTTGTATACCTATTAGAATACAAGCTAAAGTATTCACAATACCAAATGAGCATAAGGGAGCAGAGCAAGAGAAACCCTCCTTCCCGATGAATGCAAAACAGTATAGACACTTTAAAAGACAGTTAGTACATCTGTACAAAATTAAAGTTACTATACATCCAGCAACCATGTTCCAAAAACTTAAAAACTTACCCACAGTATATTCATAGTTGTCAGACCCAAGACACCAGTCAGTAAGTAAATAGATCAGTTGTAGCACATCTACACAATTCTAAAACTCAAACTCAAAGCCAGGTGCAATGGCCTACAACTGTAATCTGAGTTTCTTGGGAAGAGGGGAATAGGAGGATCAAGTTCAAGGCCAACCAAGGCAAAAAGTTTACAAGACCCCACCTCAACCAATGGCTGGACAAGGTTGTGTACATCTGTCAGCTATGTGGAAAGCAAGTGAGATCAGAAGACTGAAGTTCCAGACTAAGCTGGGTAAAAACCTTTTTAAGATCCTAACTCAACAGGAAAGGCTGGGCATGGTGACATGTGCCAGACATCTCAGCTAAGGTCATAGTATAAATTGGAGAACTGTGGTCTAGACTAGCCAGAGCAAAAAGACCTTATCTCAAAAATAAGTGTACAAAGAGCTAGAGGTAGGCCTCAACCTATAGCACTTGCCCAGCAAGCATGAAACCTTGAGTTCAAAAAGACAAAAGAAAAAAAAAAGAAAAACATACTCACTAGAAAAAAAAATGACAGACAATTCTAAGAATTAACATAAATAGCAGTGACAAAATTTATGTTTATAAATGTATTAAAAAGCACTTGGGTTCGTTCCATATCTTAGCTATAGTAAATAATGCTGCAATAAACATAGTCGTGCTGGTAGCTTTAGTGTGGTCTTGTTTGTAAACATTTGGGTAAATGCCCAAAAGTAGGATTGCTGGGTCATAGGGGAGCTCTATGTGGAGTCTTTTGAGGAACCTCCATACTACTTTCCAAAGTGGTTGAACAAGTTTACACTCCCATCAACAATGCAGTAAGGTTCCCTTGTGTCCACATCCCCTCCAGCATCTGTTGTTATTAGAGTTCTTGATTTTTGCCACAGACGCCCCTCAGTAGATGAATGGATCAAGAAAATGTGGTATATGTACACAATGGAATTCTATGCCTCCATCAGAAAGAATGACATTGCCCCATTTGTTAGGAAATGGAAAGGCTTGGAAAAAATTATATTAAGTGAAGTAAGCCAGGACCAAAGAAACATAGGTCCCATGGTTTCCCTTATTTGCAATATCTAGTATATGTCTGAGTCAAGCAGAAAAGGTCAGATAAGGTGATGTTAGGGAAATGAACCCTAAGATATGTATTCAAATGTTTTTTTCTTTCATGCGATTGTTTCTAACGCATTTATAAGATCATTTCTTTGTTGCTTTGTATGTCCCTCCCCCACAGTATAACTCCTTTCACTGTATTTGATGTCGGTATAATTTGTGGAGGGGAAGGGGAAAAACAAGTCGTTTAAATAGGGATACAGGTGGACCCATTGCAACAATGAGAAGTACAAGTCGTTATGTCGAAAACGAACTTTACAACTTTGGGGGGGGGAGGCAGGGATGATTGGGTGGGGGGGAAGATGGGAAGGGATGGGAAGGGGAAACAAAGGAGGAGGCTACAATGCTTGATAAGAAATGTACTCATTATCTTGCCCATGTAATTGTAACCCCTCTGTACAGTATTTTCACAATAAAAATTAAAATTAAATTAAAAAAAAAAACACTTGGGAGGCTAGGAAGGTGGCTCAGTGGTAGAGTGCTTGACTTGCATGCATAAGGCCCTGGGTTCAATTCCTCAATACCACATAAGCAGAAAAAGCCTGAAGTGGTGCTGTGACTCAACTGGCAGAGCATTAGCCTTGAGCTGAAGAGCTGAGGGACAGTGCCCAGGCCCAGAGTTCAGGCCCCATCACACACACACACGCACACGCACGCACACACACACACAGGCACACTTGGGGAAAACTACAACTTATTTTCACCTGTCATCTTTCATTAGTAGTCTCTTCTTTCTTAATCATCTACAGACTACCTCAGGGAGGTTACTTGATGTTACTTTACTCTGCTTGGCAAAACTGCGACAACGTTCAGGTATTCTCCCTAGTCCTTCTGGTTTGATAATTCAAACCTAGACTTAGCCAGATTGATTCTGTTCTTTCATGTCTTTGACCCTATTCCTGTGGCTAAATACCCTGATGCTGGGTTCCACTTCATAATTCTGACCCAAATCTAACATATTCTTTGCTACGCATAAACTTGATCCCGATTCCTATTGGTTGGCATGATACTTGATTTGCCTCTCTGTGTTAATACAAGCACAAAGGCTTGGCAACATAGCCCCAATATGAACAAACTGATGGCAGCATTACTCAAAGTGACTCTAAGAAGTGCAACCGAAGCAACATCAGGCTTTGGCAAAGACAGATGAATTCTTTAAAAGAAAATGAGCAGATCCTAGAAAAGCACAAAGGAATAAAGGAAGAGTCTATAAGAATTTACATATTAAATGTCAAGTAGAATTTAATCATACTTATAATGGAAAAGACTAAGTATAAAAGTTTTCCTGTATTTTAAAAACTGAGATAAAACAAAGCTCCTTCCTACTAGGAGGAGCATTTACTCAAGAGTAGTCAGATATCCTACCTGATTCAAAGTGAGGAGGGGGCCAGGGGAATCTCATCAATTTAGGAATACTTTAACTAATAGCTTTAACTAATCCTAACCAGATAAATGGAATTTAAATTTGACTAACATGAAACTCAGATTAGCTGAAATAAATAGGCCAAATGGTTGGAACTAAAATCAGCTTTCTGAAGGTGAATCAAAATTACACTTCATGTTTTGTTGAGCTTAAAGTAAAAAAAAAAAAAAAAAAATCAGGTTGCTTCTATCACCTGTTTTGTCTGTACCATTTGGCATTATTTCCTGTGACTATTATTTGTTCGTTTGTTCACTGCTACTGTCTGCTAGAATATTAACTTCACCAGGTCTGGGGGTCACCCGTCTTGTTCATCCTTTGATTGCTAGTGCTTAAAACGGTGCCTGGCATATACAATGGGCTTTTAATAAATTATCTCCAAACAACAAGCAGATATGCCACTTTGATTCCATTTATAAAATTACAGTTATTCACATCACAAATATCAAATATTTCATAGTAAACCAAATGGCCACTCTAAAGACTAAATTGGTAAAAGATGAGAGGAATCAAAGATAATCTAAAAAAAATTTGACTAGGCCAAAACCAAAATCATGATATTTGACATTTATAATATCAACTGACATCTAAAAGAGCTCCTGAATCTTTTCATATGTAATTCTGAAATCATTATGGTTGCCATTTTGCTTTGTTTTGATTTGAAAGAAAAACATCCTTTGAGACGATGATAACTGATCCATACTTATGCCTAACTTATTAGTGAGGCAACAGCCTCTAAATGCACAAACATTCATTAGAAATATTTTCTGTCAGTAGAGACACCTGCAATGATGGCGACTGAAAATGAAATCTGATATCTCATTCCTTATTAGGGGAAAGGGTAACATGTTCTAAAGCAAGAAAAACACAGCTTTTGAGAAAAAACTGGAAGGCTCTAGCAAGCCCAACTTCTGTTTACTCTGGTATTATTACCCTCTTGTTCTCTATTCCTCCACAGAGAGCAACATAAGTGTGTGTGTGTGTGTGTGTGTGTGTGTGTGTGTGTGTGTGTGTGTATGTACACATAACTTTCCACCTATATTCTCCCACAGCATAGAACAGCTTAATCTTACAGAGAAGCAAAAAGTCTATGAGAACAAGATCATCTTTATGACCACTTAACATAATGAAACTACTTAATTACGGTATACAACTGACAAAATTTATTTAGTTTTTAATTATTTTTATACTGAACCTTCTAGTGTTAGAAGATAACCACAAGAGCAATTGATAATCACAATTGTTAACATTTTAATAACTCAGAATTAGTCATAATGAACTAAATGAAAAACAAAATAATGTTTTAAAAGTCATAATGATTATTTCCTTTGCTTACATTGATTAGAGTATAAAAGTCAGTTTTTCATCACTATGATAAAATACCTGAGATAATCAATTTAATCAGGGGCAAGGGTTATTTTGGCACTGAGATGCAGACTTCAGTCCGTGAAGGCTTGACCTGTTGCTTTGGGCCTGTGGTGGCACAGGACATTATTGTAGGAGTGCATGGTTGAGGAGGGTTACTTAACTCAGGGCAATTGGAAAGCAGAAAGAGACAAGAAAGGGCCAAAGTCTCAATATCCCTTCATGGGCATATACACCTAGTTTCTTTCCACTGTTCTTATTTCCTAAAGGTTCAACATCTAGCAGTGCTTCAGCCAAAGGCCAAGTTTTCCACACATGAGCCTTTGGTGGATTATCAAGATCCAATAACAAAGCTAGCCAAGCCCAGCACATAGCTTATATTTGTAGGTACTACCAACTTGGAAGGAAGATGATCAAGACCAGTCTAGGTCTAAAAAATAAAAAAATAAAAAGTCTGCATAGACCTTATGTCAGAGAACAAGCTTAAGTGTGGTGGCACACATAGCTCTATGGGAGTACAGTTCAGTTCAGAATCTATCTGAAAAAATAACCTAAACAAAATGGCTGAGAACACTTACCTAGCAAGTGTAAGGTCCTAAGTTCAAACCCAATACTGCTGTAGGGGAGGGGGAAAGGAATATCCCAGCAAAGGCAGAGAGGTACATTTAGAAAAGTGAGATACTAATAATTTGGCTCAGGTGCATAATGAAAGTAAAGAAGTAGAAGCTGAATACAAAGTAAGCAATTTCAGATTGAAATTCATGGCAATATATTTACATCAGATAAAACCTTACCAGAAAATGATGGATACAGGGCAAAAGCACAATGTCTGCCAAGGTAAAGTAAAGCCCTTCAGCAAACACATGCTCCAGAGGAGGAAGGTCAGAGGCCTTTGCTTTCCTGATGTGAGAAGGCTCCCTGTTGGGAGGAGCTGGTTCTTCCTGCATTGCAAGCTTTGAGAATGCCACTTTCATTTCCAAACTCTTACATGGAGAATCCAAGTCCTTGGATGTTTCCTGGATATGGACCTTGGTCTTTGCTGTTTTTTTCTTTTCAGCAACCTTCTGTTGCTTCAGCTTCTGCCTGCGTAGTTTGTCATCATTGTGTACTCTAACAGGCTCACTAAGTTTTTTCTCTAGCTGTATTATTTCTGCAGGGATAGCTGGGGGCTGTTCAACAGACTCTCTAAGAAAATTCTCAATAGCCAAAGGGATGGTGAGTTCACACAGCCTGGTCCACTGACTAACCTATAAAACAAAACAAGAAATGATAGGATTCTTTCTTCTTAACACAGACTGAATATAAATGTCATTCTGGGAAATTAGACTAGTGAAGAGAATTTAAGAATTTAGTCTTGGGCTAAACTGTCCCTGGGCTTGCCTTTTATGCTCTCTGGGCTTGCCTTTTATGCTCTATCAAAACTTTTTTAGGTGCTTCAAACATGAAAACATTGAACAATGGAGCTTTTTGGTTTCAGTAGCCTCTTACTGAATAAATACACCTTCACCAAAAAAAGCAGGGCTTACAAAGCAGTTACTTGAGCTCCTGTTTATATGTAAATGCTCCCTTTGATGATTCTCAACATAACTAAAAGACAAAGAGAAGTTAATCTCTATAAATATGTCTCCAAACTATATAACTTACAAATTCTTATCTTTTAGTACAATACTGAAATAGGAACACTTATGAACGTAGGATTACTTTAGTTTTTTTTGTTGTTGTTTTGGTTGTTTTTTGTGCCAACCAGGGGCTTAAACTCAGGACCTTTTGGTGTTGTCCCTGGGCTTTTTCACTCAAGGCTAGCTACTGCTTTGCCACATGAGCCACAGCTCCATTTCTGGCATTTTGGTGGTTAATTGGAGTTGAGAGTCTCATGGACTTTCTTGCCCTGGCTGGCTTCGAATCATAATACTCAGATCTTAGCCTCCTAAGTAGCTAGGATTATAGGCCTGAGCCACCAGCCCCTGGCTTATTTTAGGTATTTCTTTGGTTATTGTTTTTTTGTTTTCTGTTTTGGTTTTGGGTTTTTGTTTTTTGTGTTTTTTTATGCTGGGGCTTGAACTCAGGGCCTGGGCACTGTCCCTTAGCTTTTTTGCCCAAGGCAAGTGCTCCACAGTTGAACCACAGATCTACTTCCAGCTTTTTGTTAGTTGACTGGATACAAAAGTCTCATGGACTTTCCTGTCTGTACCAGTTTCAAACTCATGGCCCTCAGATTTCAGGCTCCTGAATAGCTAAGTATACAGGCATGAGCCACTGGCACATGGCTATTGTGTTTTGTTTGGGGCTTTTTTCCCAAATAAATGAAATCTTATTCCCAACAGGAAGACACATTTTCAAATGAAGGTGTTATTACTTTGTAGCTTTAATCACTGAAGAGAGACCTGACCTTCTACTTACTTCAGCACAGGCTTTCAAGCAAGTCTTTTTAAAACCCAGAAGTTCCAAAATATCCTTCTTTGATGGGTCAGCTTCATAGGATTTCTGGATTATGTGTCTTAGTACAACAGCAAGTCCAGCTCTACAAAAGTTGTTGGGCTGTTCTACCACCGCAGGCAAACAGCAAGTCTGGACTATGGGTGGAAGCTCTTGCCTAGAAATAACCTGCATTTCAAGATCCTGGGATGGTACATTTTTTAGAAGTGAACTATCAGAACTTTCCTTGCTGAGGACTAAATAAACTTTTAGGATTTTGCAGTCACAGTATGACAACAAAAATAAAGTTACAGATGTATGAAGAGGGAAGATGCATCCTTCTACTTGGTGAGAAAAGTCCAGGTATAAGTATTCTTCTGCAAGACTTCTCTTAATACCTTTCATGTTCTTCATTCACTGGGTCACCTAAAGCACAAATGGAAATAGTTACATGCTTTATAATATAACAATTTGTTAGCTAATATTAAAGATAAATGCCTATTCTGGAAACGTAAGAATTTATGATGTTGTATTTGTCCCTTAAGACTGACTAAATGCCTTCAAAGGAAATTTTTCCTGTACTTTGTACAACAAAGGAATTGTTTTACACTTCGTTCCTTTAAGATGAACATAATTTATTGTCTTGCAACTCTTGTTTTCTTGCACATCTCTATGTCTATTAATTTTTTTTGGTTCTGTCTTTTGGTTCTGTCTGTAAATGCCTTCAAAGGAAATTTTTCCTGTACTTTGTACAAAAAATTAGTCAGGAATCATTTTACACTTGGTTCCTTTAAGATGAACACAATTTGTTTTGCGACTCTTGTTTTCTTGCACATCCCTACGTCTATTACATTTTTGGTTCTGTCTTCAATATATATTCAGAACCTGATTATTTTACAAGATTTCGATTGTTTTTAAGATACCATCACCCTGCTCTGAATTGTATCAATGGCCTCATAAGTCTACTTCCCATCTTACTACCACTCTGGTTTATTCTCAACATAGCAAAATGGTTCTGTTAAAACTGAAGTAATGTCACCACTCATGTAATGCCACTCAGTTTAAACCTTCCAGTGTCTTCCCATTCTATTCATAGAAAAACCAGTTTCTCTAACAGCCTACTAAGATTTTCTTGATCTAATCTTTTTATGTTTTCTGCTTTTCTCCTTGCTCCAAAGTAGAGCTATTCCCTAAAACTCTAAGCATCTTCCTATTTCAGGATCTTCATACATGGTATTTCAAGAATCAAAACCACTGCTTCTAGCTTCTAACTGCTGGTACTGCTGCTTCTTCTCCTTCTCAGTGCTAATAACAGGGGTTGAGCTCAGGGTTTCATGCTCTTGCTTAGCTTCCTCACTCATGGCTGATACCCTACCACCTGAGCCATGCTTCTAGTCCAGCAGTTTGCTGGAGATAAAGTCTTCAAGATTTTTCCACCAGGTTGGCTTTGAACTCAGGTCCTTCAGATACAACCTCCTATGTAACTAGGATTCCTTTTACATTCTTACATCTTCCCTGACCTTTCTTTTTTTTGCTTCACCCACCTACAGTAAAAAGAAAACTTTTACTGCCTCTTCTCTCCTTTGTCTCCGTATCACTATCATAACATACTTAACATATGCAACATTCTAATCATATTATTATTTTGTTAAATTAACGCATGAATGGGTATGTACTGAATATTTTAAAGATACCTACAGGGTATATTGCAGTCAATTATTCCTATAAGATTTTTGTCAATTAAGGTGACTGACTTTTTACCTTCAAGTTATACATTCATTGGATCCAGAACTGTTGAGCTCTAATAAATCACAATTTCAGAGCTGACTCTAGATGGCACTGTTTAAATGCATTCATCATAGAAACTTGTAATAAGAGGGCATTTAAAAACTTTTTTTAAAGACTTTTATAAAAGTATACTTGCAGTTTTGTAACTGAAGATCCTTTGAAATATTAGTAACGCCAATTGAAATAAATTATCAACACACTAAATTTCCCTTAGTATTGCAAAATCTTTGTGTTTTATTGGTTGTTAATCAAAAGCAAGTCTTCACTGTTGATGCTTCTTGGTTTTCAACCATTTTGTTTTGTTTTACTACAGGTTATAATCCATTGTAATAATAAAATAGAATTAGTAAACTAACCACCTGGGAAAAACTTCCTGCTAAAGTAATCTATTATATTTTTTGTTAAAACACAATAGATTTATACTTTTAAAATTCTAAAAGAAAAGTCACATATTTCACAGTAGTGACTTTTTAACCCATAGAAATTATTTTTGTACTGAGATTTATTAATTTTCTGGATTTTGTTTGACATCAGGATTTGATATTTAAATTACTAAGAAGTAAATATTAAAGTTAACAGGCAAAAAGAACTAGTGCACTTTCTAGAAATTGATAGTTTCTTGGAATTTTCCCATAGAAATCTACATCAACTTACAAGTCTTTGTGACTCTCCTGCAGTGGGATACTATCAATCAAATCCCTAAGTACTTCAATAAGGTAGATTTCAAAGGACACACTATCTTATTTTCTCAGTTGTCTAGTCTATTGGCCTACTGTGAGACTAGTTCTGCTAATACTTTAAAACAAAAATTATTTTATAGCTTTTCAGATATACAGATGACAAGAGAGACCTGTATATTTGCCACATTACAATGTATACAAGAACCATAAAAATGAAAGTGAAGGGGTGACACTGTCCAAAAGGAATTGCCCTAATAACCCAGCTCATGGAACTGTAACTCCTCTGTACAACTCCTTAATAACAATATTTTTAAAAAAACCATAAAATACTCTTTGATTCATATTTTACAACCTCTTCTCACTATGAGCACTTAATACAAGTTTGAAGTCAACAAAACAGAACAGCAAGTAACTGTCCTTTGTGAAAACTAAAAATAAATGAGATACTCAAAAGAAAATGCAAAGTACTCTTGATTCTTAACATTTTTTTTCCAATACAGATATGGTTTTCCCTACATTACCAATGTTACACGGTCAGTTGTAACTGAAAAAAAAACTCACTCCCTCTGGGCAGTAATTCACTACAGTAATTTTTAAAGTATATACTAAATATTTAGTAAATCTATGCAAATTTGGTACCACTTTTTGCTTAAATTGAATTTTCTTTTGATTTTTTTTTTTGTCGGTCGTGGGGCTTGAACTCTGGGCCTGGGTGTGTCCCTCAGCTCTTCAGCTCAAGGCGAGCACTCTACCACTTGAACTACAACGCTACTTCCTTGTTTTGAATTTTTAAGAGTGCAGAATCTAAGTTTTTGCTCATTGTGCATAAAGACTGTAGACAAAATTCCTCTTTTTTCTTCTTTCTGATCTTGATGATTCTTTCATTTACTAATTGTATGCCATGAGTTTAAAGAAGGTAGTTACTAAGAGAATCAACTTCTGGGTCTCTAGGGATTCTGAGCACATTCTTGCCAAGCACAGAAATAGTGTATCATTTCGTCTTTCTCACCTTTGACAAGCATCATACTGCAATTGCTCCTGAGGGCAAGTGAGAAAGCATCAGACCAAGCCATCAACTTTAGGAGCTGAATAAATAACACAGTATAAATCTCTTCCTGGGTATGCCCAATGCACTTAGTAATTTGGCAAAGGGGCAAAAGGTAAAAAAATGCTGAGAATCTTCAGATATGTTAAAATGGTTGCATTAATCCAAAGTTCAACATGTAGACATCTTTTTACACTGTCATTCTAATTAATGTATCTTGGCCTTTAAAAGTTAAATTTTTTTAAAAAAAATCTAAAACCTTTTTTACTACTTTAGTCCATGCAAATTGTATCAGTGTATGTGTGGTGCATGTTTGTGTGTGTGAGAGAGAGAGAGAGAAAGAGAGAGAGAGAGAGAGAGAGAGAGAGCTGACAATATACTTTGCTACAAGCAGAAAAAAGTCATTTGAAGATTTTGGGGCTTAGCCAGGTGCTGGTGGCTCACTCGTAATCCTACCTACACAGGAGGCTGAGATCTGAGGACTGCAGTTCAAAGCTAGCCTGGACAGAAAAGTCCCTGTGAGACTTTTATCTACAATTAACCACTGAAATGCCAGAAGTGCAGCTGTGGCTCAAAGTGGTAGAGCACTAGCTTTGAACAGAAGAGCTCAGGGACAGTGCCCAGGCCCTAAGTTCTAGGCCCATAACCATTAAAAAAAAAAAAAAAAAGATTCTGGGACTCAAAATTTAAGTCAGTATTTCTGGTGACTGAATACTACATAATAAATTATGTATTACATAATATGATGAAAAGATGTATTGTACAGCAAAATATTGGTTTTTTATACTATTATTTTATTTTTGGAAGTGCTGGGATCAGATCCAGAGCCTCACACTTGCTAAGCAAGCACTCTGTTCCTGAGCTACATTCCCAGTCTGTATTGTTTCTTTATCACTTATATAAATTCCTTATAATGGATAAGCATAGATGGATAAGGATATAATATATATAATTTATAAATTATATAAATTCCTTATAATGGGTAAGGATAATGAGTAAGGATAAATTCCTTATCCATTGACATTATTAAAATATTTCTTCCCAGAAAAGATAGAGGACTGATGTTAAATACTGTGTTCAAATATTCAAAAACATTGATACTGAAGCAAAAGCCAGTCACAAAATGATAGAATATAAATGTGAAATTCTTAAGTCCACATACATATTAATTGAATATACTGTAGAAAAAACAGGGTTTGAACAGCTTACAAGTATGAAAAATTACAAACATTTCTCTCCAAGATTAAAATTTAAATGCTTCAAATCTCTGCTACATCAAATGTCCAACATTTCAATGACTAAAGTTTAAATCATCTTTCTTGCCTTTCATAAATCAACACTATTTAGTTGCACCTGACATTCTATTATAAAGATATATATTTTTTAAAAGCTTGACCTTCTGAAGGCAACAGCTAATTAAAGTATTATTGGTCAATCAAGGAACCAGCTTTTCAGAAACTATTCCATTATATAATGTAGAAAATACATTCTAGAGAAAAAAAGTGACTAAATTTTCACAACTGGACAAGAAGTCCTAAAAGACTTAAAAAAGATAAAAAAAAAATTTACTGTAACTTCAGAAATAAAAAAGTATGTGATCCCTCTGAAGAATTAGAGAATCACCTGCTGTTATGAAATCAAAATACTTGCAACTGAATCTGACCTCATAATAAAAAGAGATTCACAGTATGAAATGCTAACATTGAAGAAATAACACCAACAAGAAAAAAAAGTAAATTTTCTCAGCAAACAATACCTACATGGCTTAAATTGCTGCGTCTAAAGTCCGACACAAAAAATTTCGGTCATCTACTATACCTTGAAGATAGAAAGATAGGCCATCTTATACTACAGATGTACTGCATCAGTTGCCTTGCCCCAGATGTTTCAAAGAAGGAAGGATAAATTTGCAACTTGGATGTTAAGTACTTATTTATTTTTTGTCCATCATGGGGTTTGAATTCTGGGCCCGGGTGCTGTCCCTCAGCTCTTCAGCTCAAGGCTAGCTGTCTACCACTTGAGACACAGTGCCAGTTCCAGTTTCCTGGTGGTTGATTGGAGATAAGAGTCTCACCAATTTTCCTGCCCAGGCTGGCTTTGAACAGTGATCCTCATATCTCAGCCTCCTGAGTAGCTAGGATTACAGGTGTGAGCCACTGGCGCCCGGCTTAAGTACTTATTCTTAATTCAAACCTAAGTGGTGATCCTAACTAGAAAGTAAAATAGGCTGAAACATTTTTTTTTTCTACTTTGGCAAGAGTGGGGTTTGATCTCAGGACCTCATGTTTGCTAAATAGGTTCTCTACCACTTGAGCCCTGGCGCCAGCCCTAAACAAAACATTATAGGTCCAATACTACAAAGGCTTTGGAGTCTTATTTAAAGTAGGCAAAACCATATAAGTGTACAAAACAAAGCAATTAAGTCTGATCAGGCAATTCACAATTCTCAAATTTAACAATCAATCCTGTTTTTGAAGGCCTTTTAAAAGGATACCTACTCGTCTAAGTCAAACACAATTTCAAGGAGGTATATGTGTAGCAGTTGTGTCCAGTGTGTGCTCCTACAAGCCAGTTTTAAAAATACATATAGCTAACGTTTATTAAATATGACAGCAAATCACTCGGGTTATTAGTTTATTTTCATATTTAAATGACCATATGCCCAAGTTTAAAATTGTCACATTGATTCTTGCTAGCTTTTACATTTTCTTCTGTCAACATGGTGTGTATATGTAGGCTTTGGGAAAATTCAAGCACACTCCCTTTATCAACAATTCAATAATTATTAAATGCTGGAGAAAAAGTGGGGGGCGGGGGAGCGCCAATCCTTGTGCTTGAATTCAGGACCTGGGCACTGTGACTGAGGTTTTGTGTTCAAGGCAGGCGCTCTACCACTTGACCCATAGCTCCGCTTCTGGCTTTTTGGTAGTTTGAGGGAAGAGTCTCACAGAACTCTGCCTCCTGAGTAGCTAGGATAACCGTTGTAAGCCACGTGGGCCCCGCTGAATTTTTTTTTTTTTTTAACATTCAAGAATTTATGTTATTGAATAGGAATAGGATGCTGGTGTTAAAAATAAATGTCACTTCATTCCAGGACCAAGAAGGCGTGGGATGCAGAGCACGTGTTAAGTAAATATTTGTTATGCTACCGTAATTGTCATGTAGGTTAAACTCAAATTTTCCTAGGTAATTGAGTAACCGAAGGGAAATACTGCTGTGTGTAACAAGCACATATCCCCCTCCTGAACCAAGTCCTTGGGGCCATCCGTTACGTAGTAGGCAATGAAAAACTTAGGTATCCGAAAAAGGGAAGGAAAAAAAAAGTTAAAACCGTAATCCAAGAGACTTCCTACTGATACTTAGCCCCCCAACTAACCCATCAACTCCTAGGACTGAAAGCTGCTCCCATCCCTCTATGGGGGGGGAATAGGTTCTGGGAAAACTATGAAGCCAGGAAAAATGTGGAAGGCCAACAGACCCTCCTCTACAGCTTCGTCCAAAAACGGTGTGAGGCGAACCGCGGGCTGAAGAGGCACGGCAAGGCTTTCGTCTTTCCCGCTCTTCCCCAGCCTCCTCGGCCCTGGCGCCCCACCAACCAGGGGCACAGCCCGGCCCTGCCGGCTCGCGGGGCCCAGGCGGCGGCGGAGGCCCAGGCGCCCTCCTCACCTGGTCGCTGAGGCGCGGCCAGGCTCGAACGCGACACGGGCGACGCCGGCCAACCGCGCCTTCCAGCCCAGCCGGAGCCGAGATTCCGAGGCTGCTTCTGAGCGTCGCTGCGAAAGAAAACAAAATCCAAACCCAAAGGTCGGGGAAACAAAAACGCCCGCGCCAGGACCCCGTCATTCATAATACGGCGGGCCGGAAGACGGCGTGTGGCGCCACTTCCGGCTGCGTCACCGAGACACGTTCCTCTCCGCGCTTGCTTTCCGGAACCTTTGTGTTGGACCGCCGGCAGAACGCCGGGGGACACGTTCGGAAGGAGAGCCTGGGAACGGACTGCGCGGCGGGGCGGAGCGGTGAGTGGTGCCGGCACGTCCCGGCGCCGGGATGCTTCTGGGGGCCTCGAGACCCCCGCGAGGGCCGAGAAGGACTGTAGCTCTGCGCAGACTTAGTTTCCACCCTCTGCTCGAGGATGAATCTCCCAAGTTGCAGGCGGCTGCGCGGCCCGGCGTGAGAGCTCCCGCCCCCGTCGCGGAGGGCTGTGCCTCCGAGGGAGCTGCGGGCTGAGGACCGAGTCCCCGGGACCTGGACCTCGGAACCGGGTCTCGGAAGTCCGGGGTGGTTACCGCACCCCTCCGGTACTGCTCCCTCTTTTCAGCCTTATCTTCTGGCTCCCCATCTCTAGGGCTTACGTGCAAGGCCTTGGGTTGGTTTGCTTGCTTGCGGGTGCCGATTGGGAGGCTGGAACTCAGGGACTGGCTGCTGTTCCCTAAGCGTGTCTTGCTCAAAGCTGGCGCTCCACCACCTGAGCCGCAGCTCACCTGCTGGCTTTTTGGTAGTCAAAGGAGATGAACGTCTCAGGAACTTTATTGCCTGGGCTGGCTTCGAACCGTGATCATCAGGTCTCAGCCTTCTGAGTAGCTAGGATGACAGGCGTGAGCCACCTGGCTCTTCGAGATGTTTTGCTTTGATGGAGGGGTTCACGTTTCTTTTTCCAAGCGTTTCCTTTTGCTTTTCAGCTCCTCCACCGTGTAATTAGTAATCGATTGAGGAGGGGGCCAAGTATCCAGTGGAGGAATGAAAAAGAAAAAGAACGCGAAAGCTTGTAAATATGTGAATGGGGAAGTTTCTTTGAGGGCTGAAATAAGACAGCCATCCAGCTATTGCACACTACACGAATATCGTGTTTGTTGTTAGTTTGATTGTTCGGTTTGTTGTTGTTGCACGTGCAAATCAGCTTTAAAGACTGGCATATAGGGAGGGAAATGAGATTTAGAGGAAAGCATGAATTTATACTTACTTAAGAACATTTGATTTAATTTGAGATTACAAAAGCTCTAGAAATGAAAATTTAAGCAAAAACGTAGCTTATTATTTATAAACACCTTTTAAATTAGAAGAATTAGGGAACTAGCAGTGCACCAAACAAAACAAAACAACAACCCTGTTCTCCCTGTTTACAACTCTAATGGAATTAATGAGCTGATGTCAAAATCGAAGGATTGGGAAGAAAGAGCATTGCAAACAGGAGCGTTAGACAAATTCCCAGTATATGAGAGGTGGTTTCGTTTTTGCTGTTTGAGATTTGATTTTGTTTGGTAGGGGAAAAGTTGACTTTCTTTTATGACTTTTGTTGCAGTAATGTGAGAAATTATTCAAATGCTATAGGGAGAGAGACAAGACCATAATACATTGATCATTCATTCCACTTTGATCACGTATTTTAGCATACTACAAAGTGGTAAGTTGGCAAAATAGACACAGAGCCTCTTCCTGAAGTACTGTTTTATGAAGTATATAATAGCACTTGTGAAAAAAAAATAACATGGTACAAGGTACACAATCCTGGCACTCTAAAAGAGACAAAAAGGTACCTTAGCAGGAAGATATTATTAATAGGATTTGGGGAGGAGAATCACAGTAGCTGTCTGATCTTTCATTAGAAGTAATGTTTTAAAGTGGATCTTGGGCTGGGAAGGTGGCTCAGTGGTAGAGTGCTTGCCTTGCATGCATGAGGCCCTAGGTTCGATTCCTCAGAACCACATAAGCAGAAAAAAAAAGCCGGAAGTGGCGCTGTGGCTCCAGTGGTAGAGCACTAGCCTTGAGCTGAAGAGCTGAGGGACAGCGCCCAGGCCCAGAGTTCAGGCCCATGATCGACCAAAATAATAAAAATAAAAAAATAAAAAATAAAATAAAGTGGATCTTAATGGTGTTTGGAAATAGAAAAATGGACAACAAGATTCTCAGAAATGAAGAATGGCAAAAGCTAGCCAATTGTTCTTCTGTAGGGAATATCTTGGAAAGATGAATATATATTTGTATGTGTTAGTGAATGTTCTTAAATGCTAGGCCAAGAAATTAGGGCATAGTTTTGAAGATGATGGGAAGCCTTTAATTTTTCATCAAGAAAATAAGAAAAATGTAAAAGGGAAAAATCTGAATGAAATATTAAAATAGCAAATATAAGAAGACAGAATAACCAAATTATTATTAAAATTCAGATAAATGAATGACAATCTTAATTTGAGTAGTAAGTGCAACATTTAAAAAAAAATGGTACTGTGTTAGATTCAACAGGAATATTTCTAATTTATTAGATATAAAGAGTAAGGAAAGAGCCCTGAACCTTGATGACCAGAGAGTGGTATCATTTATTGAAAAAAAAAAAAAAGGTGTAATACAAGGTGAGAATAACCATAACCTCAACTTTTAGTTATAATTGAATTTGAGATATCTTTAGGTCCACCTAGTAATCTGGGAATACAGAATTTGAGCCTAGAAGTGTGCATATTTGAATGTCATGTGAAACTTAAAAGAAGTGAGTAGAGGGAGAAGGAGTAAACAATCCATTTTCAACTTGGCTTTCATATGCCAAAATTCCACCTACAGCAAGTTTTAATGACATAAATCCTGAAAATGGGAATTACTGTGTTGATAGATCTTTAACTGTAGCAATGTATGTGTTGAGATTTTACAATATTAACTTCAGGGACCAAAGAAGATTGTAAGCTGTATATTTTGATCAAAGGATTGAATATGAAGAATACTTTTTTTTTATTCCAACAATTCTTTGCTTAGAGAAGTATTTGAAAAAGTGGCAAGTAGAAATAGAACCACTTGGGGCTGGGAAGGTGGCTCAGTGGTAGAGTGCTTGCCTTGCATGCATGAAGCCCTGGGTTCAATTCCTCGGTCCCACATAAGCAGAAAAAGCCAGAAGTGGCACTGTGGCTCAAGTGGTAGAGCACTAGCCTTGAGCTGAAGAGCTGACGGACAGCACCCAGGCCCAGAGTTCAGGCCCCACGACCAACAACAACAACAAAAAGAAATAGAACCACTTCATAACATTGCTAATCCCAGAAAATACAACTTTCTAATGTTTTAGAATTTCATAAAACTTTGTTGTATAGCTTCAATTGTCTTGGCTATTTCTGAAAAGCTCCTTAGAGGACAAAACATAACAAGCCTTGTGAGATATACATATATATCCAGAGCCGTACTGCAGAGACATTACTTTGTATAAAATAGGCTAATGCATGAGACATCACCATCTAGATGTGGCATAATAAGCTGATATTTAATATATTTTCTGAGATATTTAAAATGGGGACAGAGGAATAAAAAGAGGAAAAGATATATTGCGGTACAGGGTACCACAATGGCCTCTGCAGCTATCACTTACCACATCTTTAACCATTGTCCTTCTGTGATTCAGTATCCACCTGCTACCCCACACACGTGTACACTGAATCTCTGGTTTTGTTCTGTTCTCAAAATAAGGTATAAAAGAAGACATTTTGTAAAGTTGACCTAAACACAGCCAAATTCCTATTACTAAAAATACACAAGGTGTTGCTTAAAATAGCTAGAAAGTTCTGTGCCAGGGAAGATCTGCCTTTAAAAGTTTGCCATTGCTGGGCATGTTGGTGCACACCTATAATCCCAACAAATTAAGACCAACAAATTAAGACCAACCTGGTCTACCCAGAGAGATCCAGCCCAGGATACTTAGTGAGACTGACCCTGTCTCAAAACTGACAATGCAACCGGGCGTCGGTGGCTCACGCCTGTAATCTTACCTACTCAGGAGGCTGAGATCTGAGGATCGTGGTTCAAAGCCAGCAGGGAAAAGTCCGTGAGACTCTTATCTCCAATAAACCACTCAGAAAACCGGAAGTGGTGCTGTGGCTCAAGTGGTAGAGCACTCATCTTGAGCTGAAGAGCTGAGGGATAGTGCCCAGACCCAGAGTTCAAGCCCCACAACCTATCAAAAACAAAACAAACAAACAAAAAAAAACACCTAACAATGCTCTTGTTATTCCAGTCAGAGATAGAAAAGAAATTTCAGTTTTTCTGTAGTAACCTCTTAGTCATTTTAAATTTGCACAGTATTATAAATAAAATGAAAAAACTTGAACATTGGTAATTATATCTTGTCTCTAACTTACTTCCCACTTTTTAAAAAATTCTTTCAGGTGTTTACAATGGCTGCTACTGTGAACTTGGAACTTGATCCCATTTTTTTAAAAGCTCTAGGTTTCTTACATTCAAAGAGTAAAGATTCTGCTGAAAAGCTAAAAGCATTGCTTGATGAATCATTGGCTCGGGGCATCGACTCGGGTTACCGTCCAACTCAAAAGGTATCTATATATGAGTTTAAAACTTGGATAGAGTTTTGTAGTAGTAGTACAGTTATCGCATTTAGGTCATCTCAAAAAAGAAAGAACTTAAAATCTTTAGTTTCCTTCATTCCCTCAAGCTTTCAGAGAACTCATATACCACACAGAATAGTTCTTCTACTTTGCGCATATAGAATTCCACTTCCAATTATTTATTGTCAATTTAAGTTGCTGAATATAACCACAACTTAGTATTAATTATTCTGTAATGTTTTAGGACAAGCACTTAAATGAAGTAAAGGGATGAGCATTTTCCAAACAGTAGGTAAGATGGCTAGAATATGATTTAAGGGAAGAGAGGTATAGGTGAAGTCAGAACTGTGTAGCTCCAATCTTGATAATAATGAAGCAGTCAGTGGCAGTTTTATCTAATAAGAATATTCTGGAAGCAAAGACACCTTTTTAATATCCCCGTTTACCTCTTTTAGTTGCATGATGACAATAGTGTATTGTGAATGTTTACCACATCCCAGACACTTGTGAGTGGTTTGTGTGTAAT